TGTTGAGAATTATTCTTCTTTTAACTAGCATGTTCCCTTAACAGGGTCCGCTGTTCAAGCAGACTTCCGCCACATTTTTCTGTCTTTGGTTAGATCTTCAGTTCCTTCTTCATTGACGACATCGCATCGTCTTTCCTTCTGTCTTTCGCTTCTTTTCTTCGCTGGCAGTATCAGTGCTTGGTCTACATTTCTAGCGTTCTCGTCGGTTCTTCTTTTTATGTAACCCAATCAGTGGAGCCTGCCTTCGATAAGCTTTCCTGTAATTGGTGCTACACCTAAAGTACTACTTAAGAAGGTGCCATACATGTAGTCCTTTTGCTGACATATCCATCAGAGCATTCGCATTTCTACTGCTGAGTTCAGCTGCTGCTCTTCTCTTCAAAGTAGCCACATATTCCGTTCCGTACAGAAGTACCGATCTTACCATCGCTATATACACGTACCACTTCAGTTCGATGGATATTTTATCAAATTCTGAGCCTCTCGTCATTTGAGCCTCCTTTTCCGACCGATTCCTTAATACACTGTCCGTCTGAGCAAATATCGCAAGTTTATTTGTATCGATACAGAAAATAGATCTTTATTTACGCGCAGCAAAACGATCTCACATAATGAGACAAGGTTTAGACTGGTCTTGGGAACTATCTGCCACCGTACTAGTCCAAGATGGCTGGCAGGAACAATCGAAAGCTGGTCGTATTCGGTGAGATCGTTTTGCTTTGTCAACAAAAACCATTTTTCTATCAATATCCCACAGCAGTATGTTTCTTACAACCTACAACATGTTTTTATAAAATCATTATTAACTGGTTATCAACACCATTAATGGAACCAAAAAATTAGGATCCTGTGTTATCCGCCTGGTTCTTCCAAACATTCAGTTTTAGCGTCTTAACTTTAAATGACTGTTCACCAACTTTACCAATAATTCCTGCGAAAATAGTTCTACTGACCGAATGTCGGTCGTCGTCAACAAGTCCAATAACATTCGGTACAATTACTGATAATAGTCGTGAATAGCCATGTAAACTTACAACTTTTATGTACATCCACCGTGAAACAGATTTTTAATTTGTTTATTGTGAAACTGTGTATAATTTAATGATGATCGGCGGAACTATACAAATGGTTTCGAAAATCCGATAAAAATTAACGCTGGCACAGTCCTTTCGTATTTCTGGTGGAATATGTCGAGAACAGCAAATGCTTGTTAATGCTCCTCACGTATGCATACACACATAGAGATCCAGACGTGAGATGCCACAGAGGTGGTGGCGAAACTGTTGACATAAAGACTACCAGGAGTTTCTTAGTGCCATCAAATACCATCAACAAATTACCTACATATACAACCAATATAAAGTTAGTTTTAATTACCGCTAGCTTTGAGCCAAGAAGCCACTTCATCAAAATAAACTGCTTTTGCATGTACATAGCAGTTCTGAAAGGAAACATATCTCCCTTCAAAATATTAATGAAATAAGTGCATTTAATATTAACAAACTAAGTTTCTCATGAGGAATGTTCGATACATTATTTATAGCAACTCTCACTAAGAGATAGCAACTTAAAACGATGCCAACTTAAAATCATGTGGGCATAAATCAAGCTGCTTTGCAATTATTTACAATCCTGTTGCCTAGCTACACATGAAACTTCCCAGTTCACCTGAGGGCTAATTTAACTCTCGTCGTCAATGATTAAACGTCACCATTTCGCATGATCATGACATCTTACTTGAAAATGTCTTACTTTTAAAACAAAACTTCCTCGTCAGCAGTTCGCAATGAGCTTCTGCGCCTTTACTCTATGCCATGCGATATCTTTCCATCAGAAAGCAAGCATTTGATATTCTGCTACCTTGAAACTGGAAGCATAAAATCCTATTTTGCAATTAAATGACCTGAAAATCCCATTCCTGCTGTAACTTAGATACGATCTTGACTTTTGAAACAATGCTAATATTTATCATTGTGAAAACAACAAACAACTGATTCCAGAAACACAGCCAAATCGCAGTACTACATTTGCAATTTGCCGACATTTGAGAAAAACATTTTAAAATAAATGTGGGCAATCGCTAGCAATCATAGATGTTAATATTTAACAGGAATGAACAATTAAATGAGTATGCTAACTGTTTTACCGGTGGACAATCAGTAGGTATACAGAATTCATTTCGTCCAGATTTGTGATCGGTCTTCTCGACAACAAAACTGGATTTTACCAGAAAACCCGTGTTTTTATTATCGCCATTAGCGTATATGTATCATACCTAGAGCACCACGTAAACTTACTTCGCGGAGGAGTTATCGCGATCAACTAGGCGATACTCCCAAGGAGACGTGTTACCATTGCAGTACGGGTACGCTGAACCTTGTGGCTATCCCAAACTGGGATAGGTCAGCCGCAAAATTTTTGAGTGTGGGGTTGCGTTCGCGCTGTCCCCGTAATTTTCGGAATTAAGTTGTGGGACGATGATGCTTCTAGCAGTACTCTTACAAAGATGCCCAGATTTGCGTACAACGGTATTACGTAATCACGGTTGTATGGCAGGACCACGTAAGGATTCTTTTATGGGTAAACGTGGTTTCCACGGATATGAC